GAGGTTTTTGCCCAGGGCTGTTTCCAGTCTCCACATGTCTGTGGCAGGCAGACAGGAGAGCTCTGGGCACCAGGTGGGGATAGGAAGGGGGGCAGAGCTGGAGGAAAGGTCTTTGTGCTTTGAGCTCTGCCCCAGTTGAGTGGCCCTGTGCTTTTCACTGGCTGGTGTCCTCTGTCCTCTTCCTCTCGCCCCTGGGGCCATCAACAGCAGTGCTCAGCGTGCGAGCTGGACCTACCTCTAGTGTCTGCTTGTTTGTTTAAATACTCTGGCAGAGGCATGCTGTCCCAGAAGGTGGGGAAACCAGTGTGGGGCTCCCCCCCTGACGGAGCAGCATTGTCCCTTTGCACTTTGGCTGGGAATGTTTCTGAAGAGGCCCTAATTCCCTACTCTGCCTAGCCTCAAAGTCTCTGTCACCCAGGGGAGCAGTGGGAGAGCTGGGTGAGCCAGCAGCATTTCCCAGACCTCACTTCCCTGCCTGTTCCCTATCCCCACTCCACTCAGCAAACTAGACTCCTGCTCTTCCTGCAAGACTCTAGTGTCACCTCCTCCAGGAAGCCTTCTCCCACTCCGAGCAATCATGTGCTCCTTCAGAGAGTTTCGATTTTCAGTGTACTCTTTGGTTCTCCCGCACACGGGAAGCCCCTTCTACATTGTTGTAGCCCCAGGGCCCAGCCCAAAACAGGGCTCAGAGGCTGAGTTTAATATTTGCTTGTGGAGGGAGCTCCCTGGCAGCCTGCTGGTTAGGACTCGGCACTCTCACTGCCAGGGCCCTGAGTTCGATCACTAGTTGGGGAATTGAGATCCCGCAAGCTGCAAGGTGTGGCCAAAAAAATTTTTTTTTTGCTCGTGGAATAAATGTCCGGAGCTACCTCCCACAGAAAGCCCTTCCTGATGCCCATTCCAGCCGGTCTGGCTGCTCCGCCTCAGTACCTTCCTGACACTTTGTGCCTCTCTCAGGGTCTCTTTCCCATACTACCTTCTTGGGTAGCTGTGGGCAGCTGTCTGTGTGCAGCAACTCCCTAAGGCGGGTATTTTCACTCTTCTTTTACAGATGAGGGGAACTGTGGTGACACAGAGAGGTTGATTAACTTGCCTAAGGTCACCCAGTTAAGGAGTGGCAGTCCCACTTGGGTCCATTTGGATCCAGAGTCCTTGTGCTTTCCACTGCTCTACTTAGGTGTCCCTGTATCTTCTATAATATTAGCACAGTGCCTGGTGCCTGTCAGGCTTTGGGAAAGATCCACAAATGGGAACAAAGCTCAGCTCCCAGGCATGGCCCAGGTGGGGAGGGAGAATTGGATAAAGAGGGCCTTCTTCCTTGCTTTCGCTTCATCTTCCCATTGCTTTATTGTAGAGACCTAGTGATAGGGAGAGAGAGAGAGACAGACAGACAGACAGACAGACAGAGAATTGAGGGAAACCAAACCAATTCTCTCTCCTTCCGTTCAACAGATTCTGTTCCTACCCTTGCTGTGGATCAGCTCTGTGTCCTGCTAGGCACCTGGGGGTTGGGGGATGGAGTGAGTGAGACACCTTTCTTCCATCACAGAGAAACCACTTGGAGAAATGTTTAGACAACAGTGAGACTCAGCGCCTCTCTTCCCCATCTCCCTTCTAGCTTCAGAGAGGCTCTGCCTCTTTACCCACGCAGGGAACAGCCTCCACCCACACAGGGAGAGCGACCCTGAACATCAGAGGTGTCAAGACATCAGGACAAAGTACAGCTATTGTGCCCTGGGCCCGATCACTGCTCCCTTTGTCTGGGGCCACCGCTGGCTTCTGGACACCTTTCATGCTCTTCTCTACCCACCTCTGCCCTTCTCTCCCCTTCGCCCTCACCTGGAACACCTTCCCCTTCCTCTTTGGCTCCTTCTGAACTACTACAGAGCCGCAGGCCGAGGCTGCCTGGCCGTGAGGTGGGGCCCTCCGAGTGGGGCTGAGGTTGCTGCTGAGGGGGCCCAGTGTGACCTCCGTCCGGGCTGCTCGCTGCTCCACACGCCCCCACCCTCCTTGCCATGTTGCTGGGTGACCTTGGGTCCCTCTGTACCCTTGGAATTCTCTGGGGGAAAGTCTACCCTGATAGTCCCTGTCCTGAAGCAGCCTGCGGAGGGAGGATAAGTGGAATCAAGTTCGTTGGAGGGGATTAAGTCCATGGAAGGAGAAGATGCTGTAGAGACGTGATGTGGTCTTATGGCTGCTGACTTGTGTTCTTGTTCTGCGTGTTTCTGGCCCCCATTTTTGAGGACCCAGGAGCGTGGGGCTCTCGGTTTGATGATAACCCATGGGGTTGGATCCATGACAGTGTATTAATGTGAAAGCTGGTGACATCACATTGGGGGACGGGACCCAGAGTCAACCCCCCACCCCCAAGTCACCACCAGGTTGTGGCTGTGAAATGAAGGGTGGAGATGGGAGACCCCTCCTCACCCTAGTGAAGGGTGCTCAGGACCCTTCAGGCAAGGCTGCAATTCTGCTCCCTCATTCCCCTGGTTTCCTGAGCAGAGCTCACAGAGGTTGCTGTAACACACTTTGCTGAATGGGGAATGGTTGGTTCAGGTTGGGGGAGAGACTTGTGGCTATTAAGTGACAACTGATGGCCATCCCTCCTTGGAACCCCTCCGTCTTCCTCCCAACTTCAGAGTCCTTTATTATGACCTCTTCAGGCCTCTCCCAGGGCCAAGGAAGGCTGGGATGAGAAGGGATGCAGAGGAGGGGGCCAGAGTGACCCCCGGTGGTGAAGCGGGGAGCCTCTGTCCTGGGCTCTGCCAGCCCCAGGGTAGGGATAAGGCAGGGGATCCCTGCCAAGGTGCCCACATCTTGTGTTCTGGGGGTGTTAGACGAGGACCAGGTTGGGCAAGGAGGAAGTCTAGTGGCTTCGCTTCCATGTCCCACGTGGCATCTTGGAGGGTGGAGCCTTGGTGAGGAGGCCTGCCTGGGAGGTGGAGACTAACTGTAAAAAGACCTTGTCCCTGCTGCTGGGGAGCCTGCCAGGTGGTGGAGACGGGACTGGAGGCATGAATGATGGAGAGGGTGCGATAGGGTGGCGGCTGAGCCAGACCCTCTGCTTGCGAGGGCCTCAGGACACCACTCCTGTGGAACCAGGGTACTAAAGGGGTAACCTACCACCCCCACCAAACCACAGCGCCATGAGCTGAGGAGTTGCTGTGTTCTGTTCTCAGCCTAGCTCCCATTCTCAGCCCAGGCCTTCACAGAAGCTACATCAGCCCCAGGCCAGGCCCTGGCCAGGTCTGGATGAATAATAAGACCGGTTAGTCCCTCTCTTCCCACAGGTATCACCCCCACTCCTTGTTCCCTGGGGGAGCCTGGGAGCTGCTGGGTCAAAGCCCAACCAGGAATTTTTCCAGGCTGGTTCCTGAATGCAAGGGTGAGTTGGGGGGCCTTGGGGAGCACTTAGGGAAGACATGAGGAGTTGGGGGAGAGGGAGGCTTTGAAGGAACGGGGGTGACTGAGGTAAAGGGAGAAGAGACTGCCAGCTGCGAGAAGTAGGCAAGGGATCCTGGAGGTCTGGGGGCTGCTGAGGAGAACTCCCCAATTCTGTTCAGAAGATGAGCTGTGAGCCTGGACTCTGGGGCTGATAGAAGCCTTGGCCTCCGGCCTGGTGGGAGCTCTGGGCAGCTGGCCTACAGACGTTCCTTAGTGCTGGTGAGTAGGTTTGAATCATCACTCAGGCCCTGGCCTCCATCCGCCCCCACCAGCCCCCTGGCCTCAGTTCCCTGGCAGCATCTCGGGAGGTGGGGGGGCGGGAAGCAGGAACAAGGGCCTCTGTCTGCCCAGCTGCCTCTCCGTTTGGGCTCTGCCAGACTCTACAGTGCATACGTGGGCTCCAACAGGTCCTCTTCCCTCTGGGCCACTGACTAACCCCAGAACCACACGGCTTCCTGTTCTCAGCCCCACGAACACGGTGCCAAATTCTTCTCCCCAGGGGAGACTCCCCGAACACTTCCCAAAGGACTCCAGTCACCCCAGCCTGTTGGCTGCAGCAGGCCAGATAGGGGCTCCAGAAGGGCACAGTGTCCAGATGGATGCATCATGCCCTCTGTGCCTAGCACTGGGCTCTGTGCACATGGGGCCATTTGAGTCCCAAACATGCCACTGTTTGAGAGGTCAGAAATGGGGATGCCAGGGGTAATCTCCCTCAACCCTCTTCCTGAGGCCTCTTGAACGGGAGCTGGGGTGTGCAGACGGTAGTCACTAGGGGGCGCTCAGCCACCACAGGGAAGCTGGGTGAACTTGGGAGAGGGAGAGCAGCATGTGTGTGAGAGTGAGGACGCGTGTGAGTGTGTTGGGGGGGGTAGCTGAGAGTGTTGGTGCGGGGGAGAAGGCCAGGGGTCACCCCAGGATTCCAGGAGATCTGTGTGTCCCTCTTTCCACCAGTCCCCTTCCGACTCCCCCAAACCCCTGCCCCCTCCAATATTCCCAGCATAGAGGGAATTGCTCTCGAGTCCTGTCCGCACATAACCTCACTTTCCTGTACCCTCCCCCCAAATACCGCGCGGCCGTGTGTGTCTCCGGGAAAAGGGGGGCGCATAGGTAATTTTCAGGCTGTGAACCTTGGCGGGGGGGTCGAGGTTTCGCTTCGCTGGTGTGGGTGGGGGTCCAGGCTTCGCTTGGGGTCCCCAGGCGAAGGCAGCTCCAGGGGCCGAAGACGCGCGGAGGGGACGGACTCAAGGAGCCGAGGCTGGGCCTGTTCCCGCCCCTGGGCGTGTCGGGGCGGGGCCAGGCCTTCTTTTTAGTCTGCTCATAGCGGTGAGGAGCGCAGAGGCTTGGGGCAGCCGGGCTGCAAGGAGGCTGCGGCGCGGGGGGCGAGTGGAGCCGGCAGCAGCGGCGCTCGGTCGGGAGACGCATCGGCGAGGCGGACGAACCAGCGGGGGCACCAGCCAGGAGGCTCCGCACTGGAATTTGATATTCATTTATCCAGGGTTTATCCTCCTCCTTTTATTCTGAAACATTTTTATCCAGGGTTTATCCTCCTCCTTTTATTCTGAAACATTTTTTTTTTTAAACCGTATTCTTTCCTTCTTTTAATTTATTTTTGCTTCCCATTCCCCGCTAAATCGGGCCGACCGTTTGGGGAGATTGCTCCTTTACTCCCCCAAATCACTTCGGATTTTGGAAACCAGCAGAGAAGCAAGAGGTAGCAAGAGCTCCAAAGAGAAGTGGAGGAAGATAGAGAGACCGGGTCAGAGAGCGCGCGCTGGCGAGCGAGAAACGAGAGGGACAGGGGCAAAGTGAGTGACCTGATTTTGGGGGTGACCGCCAGAGCGCGGCGCGAGCCCTCCCCCTCGGGATCCCACGTCGGACCAGCAGCGCTGACGGACAGACAGACAGACACCGCCCCCTGCCCCAGCGCCCACCTCCTCCCCGGCCGGCGGCCGACGGTGGACGCGGCGGCTAGCCGCGGGCAGGAGCCGGAGCCCGCGCCCGGAGGCGGGGTGGAGGGGGTCGGGGCTCGCGGCGTTGCACTGAAACTTTTCGTCCAACTTCTGGGCTGTTCTCGCTCCGGAGGAGCCGTGGTCCGCGCCGGGGCAGCAGAGCCGAGCGGAACCGGGAGAAGTGCTAGCTCGGGCCGGGAGGAGCCGCAGTCCGAGGAGGGGGAGGAGGAAGAAGAGAAGGAAGAGGAGAGGGGGCCGCGGTGGCGACTCGGCTCTCGGAAGCCGGGCTCATGGACGGGTGACGCGGCTGTGTGCACAGACAGTGCTCCAGCCGCGCGCGCGCCTCAGGCCCTGGCCCGGGCCTCGGCTCCGGGAGGAAGAGGCGCCCGCCTGGGCGCCGAGGAGAGCGGGCCGCCCCGCAGCCCGAGCCGGAGAGGGAGCGCGAGCCGCGCCGGCCCCGGCCGGGCCTCCGAAACCATGAACTTTCTGCTCTCCTGGGTGCATTGGAGCCTTGCCTTGCTGCTCTACCTCCACCATGCCAAGGTAAGCCGCCGTGCCCGCCTGGCGCCGCGGGCCGCTGCGAGCGCCTCTCCCGGCTGGGGACGTGCATGCGAGTGCGCGCGTGGGGGCTCAGTGCCCCACGCGGGTCCTTGGGCACCAGGCGCGCGGCTTCGCCTCTATCTTCATACGTGTAGGGGGAGGGGGCGCGCGCTAGGTGGGAGGACACCGGGACAGAGTCTCACCGCCCACGCGGGCCCTGCCCACCCACCAGAGTTACCGCACGTAGGATCTGGGCCGACCAGCGGAGGGCGGGAGCCGGAGGAGGCAGCTGAGGGGGCTGGGCTTGCGCTGCCGCTGGCGGCTGAAGTTTGCTCCCGGCCGCTGGTCCCCGACGAACTGGAAGTCCGGGCAGCGGGGGCGGGAGCCGGAGCCCAGCGGGCGGGGGTGGGGGTGCTCGGACCTTGGACCAGGGGAGGGCAGAGAGCGTGGAGGAGGCAGGGTGCAGGCGAGAGAGGGGCTTGCTGTCACTGCCGCTCGATCTCTGCGGCCCTCGCCTCGAGTTGGGGAAAAGTTTTGGGGTGGATTGCTGCTGGGACCCCCCTCTCCGCCGGGCCACCTGCGCCGCACCACCCCCGCCCGTCCCAGCTCGCGTCCCGCTCGGTGCCCGCCCTCCCCCGCCCGGCCGGGCGCGCGCGGCGCGGAGCCGATTACATCAGCCCGGGCCTGGCCGGCCGCGTGTTCCCGGAGCCGCGGCGGCCCGAGCAGGGAACCCGGGGTGGCGAGCGGCGCCCCTCCCCCCGCCTGCCCTCTGCGGGAAGGTGACCTCTCGAGGTAGTCCCTTGCAGAGGACCCGGAGAACCACCCCTATTCCTTCCCGCTGTCCCCAGCCCTTAACCCCCTCCTAGGAGGAATTTCCTAACGTCCCTTCCCCATTTCCTCTCTGCTCGAAGAGAAGCCCCTGCCACCTCTTTATTTTTTATTCCCCTCTGCTGAGAAGACCCATCTAACCTCTCTCCGGCCCCAGAGTCCGGGAAAAGAATGATCGCTGTCAGGAGTCGGGCTGCCTGGGCCCAGCCGGGTGCTTTGTCGAGACTCAACCTAAAGTCCCGACTCGGTGACAGTCTGCTTCCCTCCCCTCCCCCACACTTCCGAGTGAGCTGTGCTTTAGCTTTTATGGGGGTGGCCTAAGGGAGGGTTTAAAGAGGGTCCTCATCCCACTATACACTTTTTTGAAAAATGGTTTGAAATTTGCTGTGACATGGGCCGTGTGGGATAGCCCTCCCCGAACCTTTGGAGGGAGCTCCTGCCAGCCGTGCAAACACACTTTGTTCTGGTGAAATGGGCGTTGGAGCAGGAGCAGGTGGTTTTTTCGGAACTCCAAACTTGCCCACCCACCTTGCTTCCCAAAACCACCTAAGGGATCCTTTTCCGCTCTT